TGTGGGTTGTGAAACTATGAAACTATTCCATTTAAATATTTAGTGGTACCCTTCATGTATACATTTCTTAACATGTTTTCACAATTAAATTTACAAATGGAAAAAGAGCTAGAAGAAAATCAAGAAGGAATACAAATTTCAACATCAACATTATTTTTGGCTTGAACAAAAATTACTACAGTAACATTAATAATGCAATGGAGAAATATAAACATCTATGTACAAGTTTTCCCACGGTATCTTATTTTTGATTAAGAGGTCAATAATCTTATTCAAAACAGAAAAAGGTAACATACCCTTATTTTAAACTGCTCTACCAATAATTTGGAATTCAGTGCCTGGACAGAACACCTCTTTTACTTTCATTTGATTTCTTCCCACCCCTGAGCTTAGCAATTATATTGATTTTAAATATTATAGCTACTGTATTATATACATATCTATAAAACTTGTAAGATTCAATGCAGCAGTTAAAAAAAATCCACACACACTAGAGTATTTTCAGCCAATCCTGGGAGATTTGTCTTGCTTATATGATTCTTACTTTAAAAATCAAGTAAGAAGTTTACTCTGCAGTTCAGACATTCATTTATTGACTACTAGATTTGATTATTTTAGTGCAACAATAAGGCAACATTAAAAAGAGCATTGAAATAGAAAGTTTGCATATGTGTAAAGGTAGCAAGTTTATAAAAGACACATCATTGCTTCCTAAAAAGACAGCCTAGATCCAGTATAATAAAATTACATATAGGTGAAGATCAATTCAGTATTGTTTAACAAGTTTTTCTGTATAAAAGGTAAATCTAGTTTTTGTCGTATCTTTAAAGAAAACCTGGAAAATTGTTATGGCTGTATGGGACAAGTAAGGTAAGAAAAATATATATATTTATATATATTTGTCTTAAGTTTAAATAAAAAGATCCACACTTTTTGTCAAAACAGTTCATCTCTGTCCAAAATGTATTTCTTCCTTTATGGTACAGAATTAAAAGACAAGATAATGTTAATAAAGAAATAATTTACAAGAAAATATCTTCTGATAGCTTTTTAGTGAAAATATTGTTTTGTAACATTCAAATATGACATATAAGACCACAAAAGAAACGGTGAACTCAAATTTTTAGACACATAAATAAATGAAGTATTGTGTAGGCAACAGGGCTCATGCTGAAGGCTAGTATGAAATAACAGTGTGCAATCTACTTGGAAAATAGCTCTAGTATACATATTAACAAGCCCAATCATGGACTGCAGCAAATTCAGTTTTATCACTGCTCTCTGTTTCTATTTCATAACATGGTTTTCCTTGATTAAACCACTTCTGCCTTATTTATTCATACCTTCTCTTCAGAAATATAACATACACAAACAAAAGATATTTATTCTACCATAGAACGTACCTTTCTGCTGACATAACTTGAAAAAACTTGCTTGTCAAGACACTGGCAGTTCAGTAAATATGCAATGATCTTATTAATTTCTTGGTTAAGCATGTTTTAACTTATGCTGCTAGTTTTATTATCACAGTGCACAGAATCCATATCTAAACAAATTAGGTGGCTTTCAAAGTAAAAGATAGGTTACTTATCATCTTAATATACTTAAAACCTTTCATAGGCCCTATCATGCATCTAAACTATTGTGTGGAAAGCATATATGTTTCCTGATACAATCTTCTGTGGCAATGGATATACCAAAACCACCAAGAAATTCATATTATTGCACAATACATGAAGACCTGAATTCTTTCGAATGTTAAAATTGAATGACATTTTCCAGCATTAACATTGTATGACTACAAAAGGCATGTCAGTAGCATGGTGTGAACCAGCGATCAACATGCGCCCAGAATGCATACTAGTAAAAATTCAGTCAAAGGAAGTAGTCTTCATTGCCTATTTATCGTTTCCAGTCAGGAGGTTAAAGTTCAAAGACTGAATGATCAAAGTGCTCATTTTCTCAGTAGGACTATCTTCTGTTAGTTGAATCATAGAATGATGGTGTCAACAAGTGTCATCTTTAAAAAAAACAAAATGTAAAATATTATATTCTGCACATATACATTTTCAAAACATATGAAGACTTTTATTGCTGGAATAGCCTTTAATAGTACCACTTCAATAAATTAAAATAAGGATTAAAAGTTATAAATTCTGAAAGAGACAATAAAATTCTGAACCACTGACTTGCCTTGTTCTGTTCAAACAAATATGACAATGTACTGAATAGGCTCAACTGCCTATTCAGTAAAATAGTGCATTTTTCAAATGAAAATTTTAAAAAAGCCTAAAGGCTCAGAAACCATGGAAGATTTTTTTGGGAAAAATCTATTACTGTATAAGTACCTTCACATCATAAAGTGGTTGAAGGATGAGAGGTGGTAGAAAAACCCTCAATACTATTTTAACGTGATATTTCCATGCAGAATAAACAAATTGTTATATTTTAAACTATTCACTGCACTTTATTTTATGCTAGCTTTGGCAACCTATTTCTTCAGTTCAATTCCAATTTGTTAATGATCTATTCATTCAGTAGATTTCTATACCAAGTAGTAAGGTTATTCATTATTTCATTCTACTGAAATATTACTAAAATAGCCTGGTTCAGTGCTTCTGTAGTTCAGAATGCCAAAACTTCATTCCCTAGCAGATTTCTTGGAAATGTTCTGTACCTGAAATTTTCATATGCATATAAGATGTATAGGTGAAACTTGAAAAATTAGAATATCATGCAAAAGTTCATTTATTTCAGTAATGCAACTTAAAAGGTGAAACTAATATATGAGATAAGACTNTTAAGGAGGGGCCTCACCACCGCCTTCAAGGCGGTGGGAAAGAACCCCTCTCTCAACGAAGCGTTGGTAATCGCCTGGAGCCAGCCTCGTGTCACCTCCAGGGAAGCCGAGACTAACCAAGAGGGGCAATGGACCAGCATACAAGTGGCAGCACTGAGTCTCCCCATAATCCTGTCCATGCCCTCAGGGGTCACAGGATCAAACTCATCCCAGATGGTCTCCACAAGATTCATCCCCGTCGACTCGCCCGAATCTACCCAGTCAGAGTCCAAGTCTGAGCGATTTTATCCTGCAGATACTGAACAAATTCTTCAGCCCTACCCTGCAAGGGGTCTTTCCCAGCTCATTGGTTAAGTAAGGAGTGGGTCACCCTAAACAGGGCGGCTGGGCAGTTATCTACGGACGTGTTCGATCAGATTCGGACCAGCTGGCCCTCCAACCACTCTCTAGGCGTCTTTTCCGGCATGCATATAGCTTTTGAGCATACTAATTTGTACACTTTTTTGCTGGTGTTTATGTTTGTCCTGTTGGTTTTTTTATTGTTCTTAATAACACTAACTTTTCATTTTCAAATCTAAATATGTCCCAATTTTAAATTCATTGAATCCAGTTTTAACCATACTTGAAGATCAATCAAGCCTAAGTTGTGTAGTCTTTTTTAATTTCCATTGCATGATTTCAAAGATCCCACTATTAAGAATGAATATGATAGAATCTAGCTCAACAGAGGAATCTGAAAAAAGTTAGGCATTCAAAAATTCATTAACATTCTTAAAATACGTAACATTTTAAAGAAATGTATTTGTTTTGAAAGCACTAAGAGAACAGTTTGACTTAAAGTTATTTCATTGACATATATTTTCATAAGTAGGTAACCCATTCCGAAGCAAATTTATGTATAGAGAAATTAGATGTTGAGAACTTTGCTCTCTTGTTAAAAAATATGTGAGAAGGTTACAGGATTTTAATAAATTAATATAGCTGTCTAAATATTTAATGGTTTTGATTTTTACGCTTTAAAGGGCAATTTGGCACTTTGCAATTATTCACTCAATCAAGATTTCCTAAGTCCTTTCTGTCCAACAATTAAATTACCTATCACTGCTATGCAGTAAACTATTGGTTTAATAATGTGTTATAAGAGAAGGATTTATTTTAATTAGTTGTTTTTTTGCTGTTATTAAGAAATGGATAAAGATGAATATGTTATTGAGATGTAAATCATAGAACTGTTGTTTGGAAATTGACTTCAAAAACAGGAAGACAGCCTAATACGTGGAGAACATTTTTCTTTAAAAAAGAAAAAGGAGCTTAAGCATTAGAAATAAAAAGAAAGGAGTTTACCCTGTATTTTATCTAGGCAAAGAAAAAAATCTTTCCCAGTTATCTTATGGCAATCATGAGTCAAAGTCAAGATGACAGTCAAGATCATGCAAACCCTGCCCATTTTGTATGTGTGTTTGGATATTTAAAAGGTTAAGACTTTGATTGTGTCATCATGACCATTATCATGATATTTTTTAATCTACTAATCTAGTAGTGTCATTTAAGTATCAGTGCTAGGCAATATTCATAACAGAGCAAAATCTTCTATTATCACCAGGTAGGCAAAATTTGATCTGGAAATATCGTTAAATAAAGACAGTTAAGGTAAGGTGAGGCCTGCCAATCATCATTTTGAAAGCTTTCCAAAAGATAGTAGCCATTTATAGAATATTGGAAATGATAATCTTAACAAAATTTATTTCCTAGGTTTGAATCTCTGTAAAAGGCAGGGAGAATGTGTCAATGAGCCAACTCATGCTTCTCTCTTGTTAGGAGATGGAATGTAAAATGTAATTTTATGGTATGTAATAGGTAAACGCATAGAGTTGGCTTTTCTATTTTTCTGCCCTCAAAATAAACAGAATTTTTTTTAAAAACTGATAGTGTGGAAGTTTGATATTGCTACAAAATTTGAGTCAAGAAGAGGTAACTTACTCTCTCAGAAACCTAGAGAGCTTAATGCAAATGAAAGAAAGCCGCCATTTTGGAGAAATGATCGAATTCAGCCTCTGGCAGATCTATGAGCAAAAAATTAATCAAAGCGTACTCTTGTCAGCCTATTTTTTTATAATGCCATTCTTATTTACAAAATAATAGAATTAACAATGAAGTAGCTACTGATCTCTACATGACTTTTCTTCCTTTCTTTCCTCAGGCTATAAGGCTCTCTTTAGAGCAGTCATTGCCTCCTGAGCCCAAACAGGAGAGTACTGAATCAGTTAGTAAGCTACGTATCCGAACACCCAGTGGAGAATTCTTTGAACGACGTTTCCTGGCCAGTAGCAAGCTGCAGGTCGTCTTTGATTTTGTAGCTTCCAAGGGTTACCCTTGGGAGGAGTTCAAGCTACTAGGGACTTTTCCCAGGAGAGATGTAAGTAAATAAATGTGTTTAGAATACTTTTTCCATTCCTTTACCCAATTGTAGTTCATACTTAGGATGGTAAAGCTGAATTTATTTGTGGATTGTGAAATAAGCCTATCTCCTGCTCAGTGCAGAAGCTATCTTATAGGATGTGCTGTTGCATTTCTCCGAGATGGCCATCTACTGTAGATAGCTTCAGCAAAAGAAAGTCCCTCAATTTTTAAATTTTTAAATTTTCTAATATTTTCCACCTTCTATTTTTCAACTCATAGATTTGTACCTCTGGTTTTTAGGGCTCCACATGTGTCTGTCCCTAACTCTAACTAAGAACCAATCTGAGGATTCTTGCATAACTAACGGTATTTCAAGATTTGAATGTGAGAGCCAGCTTCTCAATGTCAAAATAAAAAAAAACATTTGCTCTTTGATTAGATTATTCTATAATATCACTGGTATTTAAACATTGATAACAATTAATCAGTGGAACCTTGGCTTCAAAAATTGTGGGTGCTCCAACACTGGGGATTTTTAAAAAGAGATTGGACAACCAATTTGTCTGCAATGGTATAGTGTCTCCTACTTGAGCAGGGGGTTGGACTAGAAGAACAACTCTGTTATTCTGTCTATATTGGCTCTTAAACAAATCTATTTTATCACAGGATAAATATTAACTTGTGTGTTCACCGTAGCAAGAAAGGGAGCAAATCAAATAGATTCCTACTAGTAGTAGTTTATTTGATTAATTATAGTTTTGGATGCTTCCTCAGTTGATATTAGATATTGATGAGTGGAGAGAACCAAACCCAAGGGCATCCATCAGTCCTTGACCTTAACTTATCCTTATTCATCTTGCATCAGAATAGTGCCATTTGCTAACCTTGTTTCTGGAATGGAATACTGATCACCAGGAGAACAATGTGTTTTTTCTCAACTCAAGGATGGTGAATGGTACTTTAACCTAGCTGTAACAAACAAACAGCTGTCAATCATTCACCAAACAAGACAGGAGGAACCATTCATCTCAACTGAAAATGCATTTGGTTCCTACAGTTCTTGGATCCATCTGACTTTTGTCAGTACCAAAACAGCAGACTGATTTCTGAAGCAGCCAACTGCATGAGGTCCTAGGAATTAGCCTCTATCCTAGGGAGGTCTCCAAGTGATGATGGATATATTTGAAACATGGAAAGAAACACTTCTGTGGCATTACTTTTAAATTATATAAATAAATGTAATAATCAAATGAGCATAACAGACGTTATTCTTTTCACATAAGACAAAATACAAAAGAAAGACCAAAATTAGGGGTGGGCAATTATGGCAACTTTATGACCTGTGGATTTTGACATGATTAGATTGGACTCCCAGAATTCCTGAGTCAGCATGGTTGACTTAGGTTCTGGGAATTGAAGTCCACAGGTCGTAAAGTTGCCATAGTTGCCCATTCCTGACCAAGGTAATATCTTTATTGGGATCAACTGAAATGACAGAAAAGTGAACAAAGTTTTGAAAACTTTACTGCTTATTCACTACTTCATGACCTTTTAGTTTCTCCTTCTAGCGGTATTACTTGATTGTTTCTTTTGGATTTTTTCTAGTGATATCCTTTAATGACAAGATCTCTGATAACTACTTGAAAAGAGTTATGGTGTGGGTTTTGTATGGCATGGCATTTGAAACACAAGACAAGAGGCATCTCACAAGAGCATTGGCATGTCTTAACAGCCTGCACCTGCAAGTTTCTTTTGTAATCAAAATTAAACCTTGTTTTTCTTTTTCTGTGCCACATTTCCTCTTTTAAATGCAAGCAATGAAATCCACTTATTTGGGAGTACTATATACCGGAGACTTAAGCTCTTTATTTACTGTATCTGGAGGCCTGAGTAAGTTAAGACTTCTACAGTAATTCACGTTTATTTATCTGAGCTGTAGCTTAGGATCAGTTGGCACCTAAGTTACTTAAGGTTATTCAAATGCATTTAAAATGTTGCTTAATAATTCAAAACCAGTTTGTTTTGTTTAGAGTATTACGATTCTAAAAATCCCTTTAATTAGTCAATTCCAACAGCAGTTTAAGTAAACAAGGATAAGGAAAAGACATCTATTTCTTACCCTTCCGTTTCAAAATAGCAGTTAAAATAAATTTAATGGAGGAGAATACAGTGAATCCAGTCAAGAGAAGGATTTAGGTTGATTTAGAACCAGATTGTAACTGGATAATTGCAGGACTATAAAATATAGCTGAGGGATTAATAGGACTTGATTGGAAGCAGGTGTTCGTTTGGTATGTTGAATACCAACTGTACTGTAGAAGGAGATGGACAGAGAAAGAAGCAAAAGGCTATGTTGTAACATGTATCATATTTCTGAACATAAAAATGATGATTACTGGATCAGTTCTTTTTGACCAGCATTCTATGACAATCCAACTTAGAAGTGGATATAAAAATGATTGGTGTTTCTGTGGGGAGGGTGTGAAAAAAGAGAATGGCTTTCCCCCCCTGCTTTTCCCCACATTTTCCATTATTTCATCCTTTTATATCATAGCCCTATCCTTCTGTATCTAACTATATTGCAAGTTCCATTGAGGATAGTAAAAAATCACCTTTTTAAAATTACTTCCAAACATTCTCCTGATTACTCTATGAACTACCTGAGATAGGGTAAGATTCCCTGTCTAGTGGTAATTTCTCAGTACTCTCATGAATATTGAACACTACAAATAACTGTCACCAAGATAAGAGTATTCTGTTTAAATGCCTGTACCCTATTTTCTCATTCTTAGTTTTTACTTTATGAATTTTTGCTAGAAGAAAGTGTAGAAGCAAAATGCCAAGAAATAGCCTTGGCAACATTAAGAAATTAACATTGCTGTGTCTGTTAACTAGAAAATTTAATGATCTCCTGCTGTTTTGGTAATTGGACAAGTAAATGCATCTTAATAAGGCTCTGATCCTTAGTGATCCTATACCCCAAACTTTGTTCATTCCGATAGGGCTTACACTGTCAGAACTGCTTGAGAATCTGTAAATTACTAAGACATTTTTGTATACATGTTGTTGGTCTTAACTGTACATCAGTTATATTGTAGCATCTGGGAATGTTGTGTTCCCCACTCTGAATCTTCTTGAGAAACATTTCCTCACACTGATAATTATAAATGGTGTCTTTAAGCTAATAACTACCTCCTTTTTATACGCAATCTGTATTCAATTGTCTTTGTCTCAGGCTCTCAGCTTGATCATAAACATTCATGTGCACCATTTTTCATAGTTCAGAATGTGAGATAAATTAATTTATGACTTAAAATGTCCTCAAACTTAGCTAACTGGGGGGAAAAAACTTTCCTTATCTCTTAGAATGCACATGTACAGTATTTGTAGTAAAAATAGTTCAGAAATCCAGAAAATGAATGCATAATCTATTGACCTATACCAATTCTTGGAAGAAATGGTATAATGGATTTAAAGTCCATTTTAAAGGCATTCAGAATTCAAGAATTATATAGAAAACATAAATTATTGACTTGTGGAGGCCAATTAATTCAACTGTGACCCAAAGGGTGAATATCAGACCTGTGATTGAGCTGTTTCCTTTGAAAAAGAGTTCATTACTAATTCAGGTGGACCTCAGTTTAGGTCCACAATTTGTACCAGAACCTCGATTACTAAGCAGTGCAATTGTTAAATCTGTTAAATCATCATGTGACTGAGACCAATTTTACAATCTTCTATTGCTGCGGTCCTTACGTGAATCAGAAGCTACTGGAAAGGTCACAGATAGCAATCATATGACCCCGATACGTTACAATCATCATAAATTCATACATTTTACCAAATGCATAAATCACGACTATATGATTGCAGAGATGCTTCAACCCTTGTCAGTATAAAGACCAATCCTAAGTAACTTTTTTCAGCATCATTGTAACAATGAACTAAGTTGCAAAAGCGCATTGCCTTTACTGGCAGACTGCCTTTAGTTGTAGTAAATCATTGTAGATACCTTTTAATGCAAGTCAAAATAAAATGCTAGCACCATACAAATCCTTTAAAAAACTGGAATAAAATGAAGCAAAATGATAGTGCCTGCAATGCACATGCATGTGGAGACAGCTAGGGATATCTTCTAAAGTACTCTTTTTCCTGGTTTACATGGGCCTCTTCCTTGTCCTCAAAATATATTGGATCTTAGAATTCACTTTTTAAAATTCAATGGGCCTAAATTAATTCCTCTTGATCCCAGTGCATCTTAAGTCTTGAAGGGTTTTATTTATTGACACTCCAGTATAAAAGTTACGACATTTCCCATTGTCTAGCACAAACTCATGTCGTCACTGCAGCGTCATGTGACATATCAGGATCTTTTTCCCCTTTGCTAAACTGGGTGTGGCCAGCACATGACACATCCGGCCCACGTGCTGGGAGTTTGGCAGCCCTGGTCTAGCAGTATAGAAACCTCTAATTCTTTCCTCTTACAATGCACATATCAAATTTATTTATTGATATCTATAGAAATTACTAGTATTTTTTTTAATTTTTAAAAGATTTGAACAGTTAGTCTAGTATTTCAGGTAATAGAGATTAGATAAGCAGATAATGAAAATGCTGTTCTTTCAAACAATATTGTTAACAAATGTTGTAGCTGTAATATAGCCTCTAAGTTACACCTGATAGATGATATTTGGCTCTTAGCACAGTATATGTTAAAAATGAATCCTCATCATCTATCAATTGATCCCAAGCCAATATCCCGGCTTTCCCCCCATTTTTTCCATATCACCATCCTTTCCTTAATTTGTAAGACAATTTAGCATGGGAAAAAGAATTGAATCTCTTTTTAGATGTTACATTCCATAGCTTTCTAACTGATATAATTGTTTCCAGAGATACTAGAATTCTATTGTATTTAGATTGTGATACCAACCATTCAACCAAGGGTGCTACATATGTGTATCCAATGTTGGCCAAATCATAACATTAGCACCATTTATTGCTTCCAGTGTTTAACACTTGATGGTAGGTAAATTTTATAACATTTGATATATCAAAGAATTAATATCCACTTCTTATTGTCTACAAACCAATAAGTTTCAACATGGTGTTAACAAAGTCGCAGCATCAAAGCTAGTCAAGCATGAATGGAAAGAACATTTCAGCATTCACAGAGATTTTATTCCGTGAGCTTGTTCTAGCCAAAGCAATTGGAGGTGAATCTCCCCTACAGATTTCAATATATTATAAGATATTATAAGCAACAGAAATCTTTAGATATTTGGGTTTAACACTCCGAAGACAAGCACCCTGAACAAAAGTTGGAAGCAAATAAGCATTTAATATAACCATTTAGTAGGACGGTGTATGCTTCAAAATACTCAGAAAGGTTTTTGACCTTTCTCAGACACAAACTTTAGATGGACCATTGACTTATCTGAAGAGTCGTTTTCAGGGTGCTGCAAAGGAGTGTCCAAGCAAGGGTTAAATACAACCAAACTGCCCAGAGCTGAATTGAAACTTTAAGCCACGCCTCTGGTGCTGATTATCCTCAGATTTTTCAATGAAGACGTGGAACTGTTGCGCGCTGAGAAGTCCAACATTGGATCAACAAGAAACAACAAGGAACAAGACCAACTGGAACATCCAAGGAAATAAACATAACAGCGGAGCCAGACCTCAGGGTGGGGTGGCCTCTCCTTCGCAGCGCCCTGAAAACGACCCTTCAGGGAAGTCAATGGTCCTTTTCCAGGTCCCTGCTCAGGAGAGCCCAAGCAAGGGACATACCCAAGCTAAATGTCACTAGGGCGG